TTATCCTAAAGTGTAGCACCAGGACATTCCAATATGACACCAATTATAATTTTTGGTTTGCTAAAAATATTAGAGAGATATTAACCTTTTTTTCCCCATGAAAAGCTCAAATATGCTTTTTAAATTTTTAATTCATTAACTGCATTGAACACCTAACACTTTTTTAAATGACATAAATACAAACCATCTGCCTTCTTATAAATTATTTTTAAAAATATTTTCTATATGGGAATAGAAAGATACCTTGAATTTTCTTTTAACATAGATTAAAATTTGTGCCTTTATTATCACTGTTATTGACAGCTGAGAAGATTTATAGTACCAGTTATATAGTCCATTGGTAATGTTACATATATTTTGTGGATTATGGTAAAAATTTGATAAACCTTCCTCATCACAATATTTGCTAGTTTTCTTGCATAGAATCTAATCTTGAACATTGTTTGAATTTACAGCACTTACAAACTAATTTGTATCTATGTCTTTTTAATGGTGGTTTTCTAGTAGTTCAACATTATCTTTGCGGATGGCAGTATTTATGTCAAACTAGCCAGAAGCTTAAATCTTTTTTCCAGTGCATTTGCTACATCAATTACTCTTTTTCACACCATTAATTATCATACCAGCCAAGAACCTATTTATTACTTCAAATTTAAATGATTTCTTCCAATTGATGAAATACTGCTTTGATATGATTACAAAATTTTGGTGACAATTTGATTTTTATGGTCAAAATAATTTTTCATATATCATTTTTCATCATCATTGTCTCACATTTCTTTGATTTGTATTTGAATTTTCTTTTAGCTCTTTCATGCAGTAACCATAAGATGTCAAAAAATATCTATTATTTCTCATTTATTTTACTGAACTTTTCCAAAACCACTTTCCAAGTTACAGTCAAAATGGCATATTCCTTACAAGACTGCCTATAGTCACTAGAATGCCCTTAACACAAGGAGAAATGTGACAGATAAGAGCTGGAGTTAAAAGAGACAGCTGTCTGACCCAATTGTAGCTCTCATATCTTTTGAAAATTTTATAAAAACATGCAATCATTTGAGCATGTGGTTGGTCTTCAATTTATATTCCATGTCATTTCCACTTGCATACTTCCATCCAATATGTGCGTTGTGAGCTGCTATCAAGTTGGCCCTTAATTCATGGCAACCCATCAACAATCAGATGGGATCACTGTGACCCACAGGGGTTCCTCTGGCTAGTTTTCGAAAGTAGATCACCCTTCTGCCTATGTGGTCCTAATCTGGAAATTCCACTGAAACATGACCAGCATCACAGCAACAAGCAAGGCTCTACTGACAGACAAGTCATTGCTGCACTTGAGGTACAATGACAGCGAACTGAACTGTGGTTTCCAACATGGAAATACAGAAATCTACCAGTGAAACCACCAATTTTATTTGATGTATTGTTGCTACTCTGTCCTGTAGTGTCACTATAAATCAGGACCCACTCAATGGGAGTAGGATCTTTGTTGTTGTTGTTGTTGTTGTTGTTGTATGACATGAATTTGATTCTGACTCATAGTTGTCCTATATGACAGAGTAGGACTACCCCATATGATTTCTTAGATTGTAAATCTTTACAGGAGCAAATCATCAGGTAGGTCTTTTCTTCTGCCAGCTCACTAGTAGGGTCAAACCACAGATCTCTGAGTTAGCAGCTGAATTCTTAACCATTGTACCTCCAGTGCTACCTAATGTATTACTACTGTGCTAATTTTACATATGTGGAAACTGAGACTTAAGAAAATCTGTACCCCTTAATCTAGACTCCCCTTACGGGGAAAAATGAACTTCATTGATGTTAGAAAAAGTTAATTAACTTCAAGAATAAAACCTCCAGTCAGGAATATACAGGGCTTTGTGGGTAGCATGGTCATATTTGTGATCTATATGTTGTTTCTATGAATAGAAATCCAGCTATATGATGTCCAACGGACCTGAAGTGTTAACACATTTTACAGTCAGAAAGTGGGTATTTTACTAGAATGAGGGCCTTTGTTTTCAGATTTCATTTTTAATTTTTCAACATGTGTATTAAGTTTTCATTGAAAGAGTAGGAAAATAGATGATAAAATAATTTTTAAAAAACCATTAAGTCTTCTATTTTAGTTATATCTTCTACTTACCACTCTCTCCTCTGTTCTACTTGTTGCATCTCCAGAAGCAGCTATTATTGCTAGTTCTTTGCTCAATGTCGTGAATATTATTTGCAAACAAACGGAAGTATGTGGTATATAATAATCTCATACAATTAAATGCACAGCTGTGAAAAGTCTCAGAAATGTATTCACAGTTAATAAGATAATTTAAAATTCCAAGATTCAAACCATAAAGTGTGTCTTAGATGCACCTGAATTTATGGTAACCATATATGGTGAAGAACTTTCAAAAGCATGAAACACAGAACACAAGTGAAAGGTACTAGTACATTGTTTTACAATTGGAAATGAAGTCACTTGGAGGCTTTGTGCTTGAAAGAATTTAAGTCTCACCAATGACTTTCCTCCATTCCCTTTTCAACTCAAGGGGTGCAACTCAAGCTCTGGCTTAGGGAACTCTGGGAGAGACACAGGAAAGGGTAGAAATTACATAGGCACCATTGTTCTGCATGCAGACTAATACCTGACCCAACACATGTCATGATCTGGCTCAGAGCAGCTATAAAATGTAATTCTCCTTTAACCTCTCCATGTAAATCATCAGAAAGCTTCTCTCTACTGATTCATACAAATTTGGTCTTTGACCTCAGAACTGGCCTCAACAGCTCTTTCAGATGGTTGCAGTATTGATTACCTGATATATGTCAACTACCATAAAATGTAAAACTCCTTCATGAACAATCTCCACATAATGTCACACATGTCCAGAGTCACAACAACAGTATCTTTGTTCCTTGTAAATTCAGTAGCATTAAATAAATGCAGATTAACAAAAACAATGCACTTTGCTGCCTCAAGGTTTGTCAGCTAATGCAGTTCTGATTTTCTGTATTGTTCAATCGGTTTTAACACCTGCTAACATGCTTCCACTAAAACCCACTGCCATGGAGTCAATGCTGACGCATAACAACTATGAAGGGGCAGAGGAGAACTGCAGCATAGGCCCTCCAAAGCTGTAACTCTGAAAGAAAGCACATGGTCACTTCTTTCCCTATGGAAGATGGAGGGCTAGTGAGTTTGAATCATTGACCTTAGGTTAACAGCTAAGAGCTTAACCACTGTGCCACCAGGGCTCTTTCTGTTTCCTACAAGTATTGTTGTGAAGTGCTGACAAGTCAATTCCAACCCATAGCGACCCTGTATATGGTTTCCAAGGAGCAGCTGGTGAGCTTGAACTGCCGACCTTGAAGTTCAAATGGCTTTGCAGTCTAGTGCATTAGCCCACAGCAACACACCCGGAACTTCGAAAGGCCTTCAATAAATACTAAGTGCTTCAAAGTGTTCTCATATGTATAAGCAGACTTCTTTCCTGTGTCTGTGATTTTTTTTTATATTTAAAAAACCCATTAAGTGCAATATTCATAAACCAATCATCTGCAAATATTCAATTCTGACAATTTAGAGATGCCTCAGAAGACTACCAAATTATAATGTTCCATTTTTTCTGTATAAGAAGAATAATATACTGAAAACATTAAAAACATTGTAATGAAAACTTAAATTAGAAAATTAAAGAAAAATTCATGATAAAAATATTTGGATAATATCTATAAATAATTTTTAAAGAACCTTCCATTGTAATTGTGATTATGTATATGATAATATATATAATAAATACAATTGTGTACATAATTGTGTATATGAACATAAATCATACAATTTGTATATTATAATTTGTTGTTGTTATGTGCCATCAAGTCGGTTCCGACTCATAGCGACCCTGTACAGGGTTTCCGAGGGTGTAAATCTTTACGGGAGTAGAAAGCCTCATCTTTCTCCCGCGGACCGGCTGGTAGTTTCAAACCGCTGACCTTAAGGTTCGCAGCCCGATTCGTAACCACTACGCTACCAGAGCTAGGATAATATATAATTGTGTGTATTACATACAACTGTGTATATTATACATTATAAATTGTATATGGCATATACAATAGTGGACTCCCGGTGTCAAGCTGTGGGTTAATGTGCTGGTCTGCAAAGTCGGTTTGAACCACAAGATTTGCGGTTCAAGCTTAACAGCTGGTTCTCAAAACCCTATACAGGGTCGCTATGAGTCAGAACTGACTCACCAGCACTCAACAACAACAACAGCATATGCAGTGCTATGAAGTCACAATTTCAATAGAAAAGTTCTAAGCATTTTTATATACCTGTATAGATATATGGACTCCTGGTGAGGTAAGGCGGGATCACCACTGAACTTTAAACCACAGTTTTGGCAACTGAAGTCAATCATATGTTGAGGCCTACCAGCCACTCTTCCGAAATGCTTATATGAGTCAGAAATGACTCTACAACACTTAACAATAACAAAATATAGATATATACATGCACATATAAACACAATACATGATTTAAAATTTCTGTCTCTAAAGTGGGATCCTTGTGTGGCACTGTAGGGTAAACATTGGACTGCTGACTGCAAAGTCAGCTGTTCAATCCCACCAGCCACTTCTTAGAAACCCTATATAGGTCATTATGAGTCGGAATTTCAACATCTTTTAGCAAGTAATGTTTAATAAACTGCAAAACAGAAAGATATTGAATTAAATATAATATTAAAATGTTTTGGTACATAATAGTTCAAAAAATTATTTTATTTAATTGAGACCAACTGGTCTCATTGCTTCATATAAACTTTGCAATATATATTCAGTAAAAAGGAATAAAAATGAACAGATGTTTCTCCTTAGAGAAGGCAGACAAAGATTTTTCTTACACAATAAATCAGCTGCTAGTGAATTTCTAGGACATTGCTGCAGGCTAAATATTTAGGTATAAAACTGGGGGGGAAAAACAACAAAAAACTATTTACCTCTGTGTGGATCCAAAACTGGTAAAGGAGATTGAACTGAAGATGAACAGCATATACCGAAGGAGGAATGAAGAGGGCCAGGGGAGAGTAGAAAATCTGAAAGATTGAAAAAAATTTGCTCAAATGATTTCTCAACATAAAGATATACTGGTGCTAATGGTTCAATATCTGAGAGTACATATATTTCTTCAGTAAATATATATTATTATGTCTATCTTATTGCCAAGTTTGACTTGGCAATATGAATTTTCCACACAGTGATGAAGTTGTAGATACGATGGAGGTAAGTCCAACTGGACTTCTATTTTGCATTTAATATTGTCTAGTTAAAATATTATAGTTGGTGTGCTATCTTCTTAATCTTGAAAAAGTGGATATGTAAAGAGGTTCTACATATTCAAAAAAAATACTAGGTTTTTTTTTTTTTACAATCAATGATACAAAATGGAAAACTGATTTGCTATGCCAATCTTAACCCAATTAACAATTAAAAGTTTTTTTTTTTTTTTAATAAAAGAAATATGATGCAAATGCTTTTATACCTTGACAGTTCTCTAGCTCTGTTTTATCACAAGGCATTTTCAGTAATGACATGAAATTATAATAAAAGAAAATAATAGAATATAAGAATAAGAGATAATATATTTTTCCTTTTAAATATGTGTACATGTGGTTGATTAAGGATACTATATTTCCCAATTTTTTTTTTTTTTAAGTTATTAAAGAAGGATCTGTGATACGGTCCCAAAGTAGAAACAAATTTTAAAGCTCCATATTTTCCAACAGACGGAAATTCCTCTGCCTTGGAAAATAACTTATGTTTAAACCACAGAGCTGGTTAGAATCAACTAATAAACACAATCTGCTGTGTTCTCCTAATGACTTTGATCCCTGAGAGTGGTTTCAAGTTGGAAGGAAACATTTTATTAAATGAAAAACTAAACATGCAAATAAAAATAAAAGATTGATTTCCAGTGTACAATTCTGGTTTTGTATTGTCTACATTTCTAAAATACTACATATTTTTAAAGTATTTTTTTGAAATATGACAATTTCATGTCTCAATTACTTTTTTCTCAATTAGGTGAAAAATATGTCAATTATATATTTTTGATGATTATGAGTTTGAAATTAGTCATTTACATGAGCTCTTCTAGTTTTTGTTTTATAAACATAAGTCATGGAAAATTCAACTCTCATGATGAGCAGAATATTTTACAAGTGAATTATTCATAAGCCAATTGTTAAGCAATGGATTGGATTAGCATGCAGCAAAAGAATACTAGGCTCTCATTCAATAGATCCATTTTAAAGCCTTATTTCCTCCACAGACACACTACATGATATGCAGAAAATTCTCCAACTTCTTTAGAGTTTAGTTTCCTAAAACCAAAGGCAAAGGGACTAAAAACATTTGAAACCTAGCTGTCTTTTTAGTTCCAAAATATCTGTAATTTTGTGATGTGATTTTATGTATTTATTTAAACAATTCTCTTAATGTTGTTGCTATTAAGTGCCATTGAGTTGGTAGTTTAATTAACATATTTAAATAAATATATGGTCTATAGTTTAAGTACTTTAAGCCAAGGAAAGCTTTGGATCTTCTTCTTTGAGATATGAGGAGAAAATGTTAAATAATTTACCTCTTACACTTAAGAGTTTTATTGGGAAAGAGTATGTACCAGATGAACATTTATATTCCATGATAATTTCTAGAAGGATGGAGATATAATACTTTGAAATAAAAACATGTAATTTAAGGAAAAAATGATGGAAGGAATACAAAGTCACTATAGCAACAAGAAACTGTCGATGTTCAACCATTTAAAGAGGAATCATGATCAAAAGCCAATGATTCTAAAG